ATTGGTTTTTATTTTTTATTTTTGAGATTATCCAATGCCAGCTACATTTCAAATGGTTCCTTTAAGAATGTCTATTATGGATATTGAAGGAGTTAAAACATATTTTTTCAAAGTAATTCGAAAATATTTCTTTACTACAATTATTTATTGAATTTTTAGGCTCGTATTCCAAATAATAAATTTGTTAATGTACGTATTAGATTATCTGGTAAAGCTGAATCTCGAGATAACCAAGTGCTTGTTGAATCACGCGCTACTGGTAATGTCGATGAAAACATTACTAAAATCTTTTAGGAAACGAACAGTGTATAAGAATAAACACAAAAAAGACGTAGTTAGGATGAACTGTTGTCTTTTTTTTTTTTATAATTTTTGTCTTTGTCTGATTTATACAGTATCAAATGTTCCTTTTATTCATTTTGATTGTTTGTTACGTGTTCGTAGATTAAAAGAAAACCTAGCATTGAAATAAAAATAAGGCATGCATTTTACTTAACTAGTATCTAGATGGTAACAATAAATATTATTTTTATAGATTATATTAAATAATTTAGCAAGATAAAATATCAAAAATAAAAAACAAAGATATACAAATGTGAATCTAATCTTCAATTCTATACAAGAATGTTACTAATTGGTATTATGTAAAATAAGCTTTTGGAATGTCGCAGATTTACACATGGGAATTATTAATCATATTCAAGCTACATGTTTAGTTTCCTCGTTCATTGATTTATTGTTTTTTTTTATTATATTTTCATTAGGATCAAATAGCAGATTTAATATCTTATTAAAATCAATGGATCTTTATTGAGAATCTTCGAAAAAGACTTTGAATTATAACACATGTCAAAATTAATTTTATATCAAATGAAAGCTGATTTACTGTAGATATCGAAAAAAACAATGCAGTCTTTAATGCGGAAAATTTTAATTGTAAATTCAGATATGTATACACTTAATTATGTCACGCAAAGACCAAAATTACTGGATTAATCTATGTCTGTCACAAACGAATCAAAACTGAAAAACGTGATTTTTTTCAGGTTGAAGCGATTGAATTTTTTTCTCTGCTTGTAACAACGCCGCATAGATTATGTTCCATCGGATTTACCTCGACCTCCTTCTAATCATGGCCATAAAAATGAGAAGCATATTGGCATTTAGCAGATTTGATTTAATACTTGTCTCTATATGTTATGAGTGCTTAATTTGACGTTCCACGACAAATTTCGGCTCTAGACATCCAGGTCTACAAAGGAACCTGTTCAGCTGTACCTTTCTGATTTCAATAATTTTTTTTTGCCTATAGATATTTCATAATGTTCTAATAAAAACCTAAATGGATATGGATTTTGACCAAGCTATCATATTTTTCTAGAGGTTCCAAGTTTTCGGAAAACTCGTATTTTCGAATTTTCACCTGAACCTTTGTGTATATAGAGAACTCAACTAGAGTAATTACCATAAAAAAAATTTAGAAGTTTTGAATAAAGTCTCTTCGAGATATGAGACTTTCAAGATAGAGACCCTTTTCCATGGATAGCGTATACAACATGCATTTTTTGAAAGTTGCATGTTTCGAAGAGACTTTATTCAAAAGTTCTGAATTTTTTTATGGAAGTTAGTCTAGTTGAGTTCTCTATATGCATAAAGTTTCAGGTCAAAATTCGAAAATACGAGTTTTCTGAAAACTTGAGGCCTCTAGAAAATATGATAGTTTAGTCAAAATCCAAATCCTTTTAGGGTTTTTATTAGAGCACTATGTAGCATCTACAGGTAAGAAATTATTGAAATCAGAAGGGAACATCTGAAAAGCTTTCCTTGTTAACCAAAGATAAGAAAGGATTTAAGTCAAAATGCCAAACAAAGCTAAGCTGTCGATTAGAAATCAATAAATCTATATCTTATCACGAGCTTTATTAAGAATAGGTAGCCATGACGATCACATGTCTGATGTAAGGGAAAGTGAAAAGCTGCTTTTAGTGAACATCGAACGTATCGATACGATGATTACAAGTGTTTAAAGAAAAAAAATACTTCACTTCCCCCATAAAATCATCCATATACTGAGCAAATTAAATATTTTTTTAAATTATTTTATTCAAGTATGTTATCTTTGGCATCTTTAAAAAAACGTTCGTACTTAAACAATCAGTATTTATCAATTATTTATGAAACAAATTTTAACATAAACAAAGATACACGATAATGTTGTGCATCAAAGTTGTGTCAATATTATCAATTCTTGACTTGTTAAATTAGAATAATTTGAAAAATAAAAATTTTATACAACAGAGTTTTTTGCATTATGTGTTCGAACTATGTTAAAACATTAGAACTTAGCAGAAAAAACAATGCAAAAGACTTTTTTACCATTGCGAAATTGTCAAGAAGCCAGTATAGTTAACATATTTAGTCTCGTTCAGAAAAAGCGACATTTTGCTATAAAAATCAACAGTAAATTTAAATTTTCATAGATGCTTAATTGAAAAGAGAACTCTCCAGGCTATAAAATCTCTTTTCCTGATATAAAAAAATTCTCAAAAATGAATGTTGCTTAATAGTTTATTGGCAAGAAATGTTTTACAAGTGTTTGATTTCTGCCTGTTCTTCCTCCTCAAAATGGCTATGGAAAAAACCATGTGTGCTATAAACCCTGTGGTTGGAGTATTGCTTTTTTTCAACCCGGAAAAAGTCTTTGATAAATTTAGAAGTCGGCTATGCAATTAAATAGAGTTCAACATTCTTTGCAAAGATTTTTGTATTGTATGTTAATTTCGAATATAGATTAAGAGTAGCAGAAAAACAGAGTTAGAACTATTATCTAACAAGATCAGCCTAAAATCCATACTCATGAATATAAGTAGTAGTTTGCGGAGATCACCGAGATTGGGGGAGGATCGACCCTTGTTACGAGGGATAGATACATCTAGAATGTGTTTATATCTATATACATCCGTGGGCAAAAGTCTTTCCCGCTCCTCTCTCCATCATTTTTTTTGTATATCGAGCTTGTTTGTTCTCAAGTCAGTGCTAATTACAAGGATGGCTTAAGTACTTGATTTCAGTATCATGTATCATTGATTACGATTTACTCCGATAAACATTATATGTCTTTCAGTATAATCAATCGCTACTACAAATGACTGAGTTATTTCTTGTTTCGATTTGTTTTGAATGTTTTACTGGTTTTGGTTTATCTTAATTTGTAGGATCGAGTATACTGTCTCTTAGGTCGAGCTTCAAGTCCCCGACGAAGAGAGTTTAATAAGTTGGAACCAACAAAAAAATTCAGAAAATATTGAAAAAAGAAATAACTTAGTCATGCAGCATTTTATCACTAGGTCATTTGTAGTGGTGGTTAATTATATCGAAAGATCTATAGTGTTTTTCGAAACAAATCATAATCAATGATACATGATACTAAAATCAAGTACTAAAGCCATCCGTATAATTAGAATTGACTTAAAAACAAACAAGCTCAACATACAACAAAACACTGATGGGAAGAGGAGGGAAGGGGGAGAGGGAAGACTTTTGCCCACGGGTATAAGTTAACATGCAGGCCATAGAATGGAGAATAATACAAAACAATTGATTTCTTCTATTTATTTTTTCTTACTTCATATGTGATTATCTGTAACAGTATATGAATCCCTAACAATGGATCGAATGTGCCACAAGAATAATAATTATTTTGAAAAAAGTAAATTCTTCCTTTTGTTTAAGATTCTCATGTGTTTTGTTTTTGTAGTATTTTGCTCAGTAGAACCTTATAGTCGTATGTAAAATCAATAAATTTATGTTCATATATAAATTCCAGCTCAGTATGAACATTTTCGATTCGACATAAGAAACAAATTGTTCAACTACAAATCACTATAAATAGGCATATATATATATATATATATATATATACATTAGAGATCTCAATATAGGCTGAAGTGTTTTTGAATAAAAAAACCATCCGCTAGACTGCCGTGATTCGATATTGCGATGGATGCCCATTAATCGAACCTTAAATAAAATTTAAGAAGATGTTACGTATTTCCACTAATTTAAAAAAAAAATCTTATGTAACTTTTCCATTGACTAAAACATTTCTGCAATGTACAGCAAATATATAAAGCAAAACAAAGAAATAGATAAAAACTTTCTCAATAAGCTCTAATAACAGATCTTGATGATAGTTCGAATCAATGGTCTATAATTGTATCAGAGTTAATCTTTTTTATACTTGATAAACATTTTAAATCTCTGCTTTTTTTAATGTTTAGCAAAGAACAAGATCTATATGGTCCAGCACTTGATCAAGTTCAACAATAATCATTACAAGTTATTCAATCAGTTATTCGTAACTGTTGTAACTCGTACAATCCACAATAAATTTAATAACAAATCGTAAGAATTTTCTTGAAATCTGGCTGATCTCATAATTGAATTTTTTATTAATAGATATTGATAATCAAACCAAATAATGCTTATGAATTACAATCTCAATCGATTTTCAATGATTGCATCACTGGAGGAAGTTATGGTCAACAATAGCCAAACACTTCCTCTGTTCAAACCATTCAACCAATTTTCAGATATAATTTGTTGAATTACATAAAAAGAAAATATGTTTTTCTTCACAGAGATCAACAATTTGAAATTCTACGAAATAATTTAGCTTTTACGTCAAATTCATTTACAATCATTAGTACAAATACCTGACAATCCTTCATATGGTCGCTGGCAAATACAATCTATGCAACCAAAAAGGATATGTCTTTTCTTTTTCAGTTTTAAAAAATTTAAACATTATTTATCGATTTTTTCATGATTTTATTGTTCTGTATTTTGTTTTTTGTAGTAAAGATATATTGAAAAAACAAAACAAAAACCTAAACGAAAGCTAATTGAAAACATATCTACAAAAACAAAAAAGAAAAAGAAACGAGAATAACTAGGTAATAGAAAATGTTTAAAAATGTTTAGATTTTGAAATATTAATCTCAAAAATGATTTTCAAGTTTTGTATTTTGTAGAAAATCAATGCCTAAACGATGAAGTGTTTGTTGAAGATTTTCATCTTAAAGAAAAAATAAAAAGTATTTACATATAAATAATATTAATTCTTATTTAAATAATAATAATAATAATACCTGTGGTCATATAAAATGGCGTAACATTTTCTTCTACTAAAACATCTTCTTCTTGACCATTTTCATCAATATGAATAGGTGATAGTGTTGATGCTTGAAAAATTTCTTCTTCTTGTTCTTGTTCTATAGGTTTAATATTTTCTTCAATTTGTTCGTTATGTTCAATATTATTTAGTTCTTGTTGATGTTCATTTGTTGTTTGTATTTCAAAATCTGTACTTGTAGTAGCATTATTTGTAATTGTTGAAATAAAAGATCCTGGTGGATTCTAAAGAATTATAATTAAATGAAACAAAAAAAAAAACTTTATTTTTTTTTTCACAAAAATTATTTTACAAGATCTTCAATGACACCAACAGCTCGAGCTTGTTGTATAACAAGATTAGGATCATATAATTGTGAACCATAACGTTTTAAATAAGCTTGTGGATCTTCACGAATAATATTTTGTTTTTGAAAATTTCGAACAATTTTTGCATGAACTGGTTCATAACTAAAAATAAGAATCAATATAATTTGTTTTTTAAGAAAATAGAAAACATACGTTATGATAACATTTTTCGGTGGTGGATGTTCTTTAGAAGCCTTTGGTGCACGTTGTACAATAACTTTACGTTTTTGATTAACGACTTCATAAGGTAACCAACGTTCAATAATAATATCACGTGGTTTAGGTGGTAATGGTGGTAAACGTTCAATAATAACAGCTCGTGGTGGAGCTTGTTCAGGTGGTAATTGTCTAGATATTGTGTATAGCAAAAAAAAAACCATATAAAAAGACTTAAAATTCTCTATTTACCGTGTTATCACTTTTGTTGCAAATGTTGATGGAAGTGGTGGTGGTTTTTCTCGAATAATAAGTGGTGGTGGCGTTTTTGGTGGAGTTGGACGTTCTGAAAGTAAAGATAAAATGATAAAAAAAAAAAAAAAGTAAACAAATCAATTTACGTTTAATAACAAGTGGTGGAAGTGGCGAAGGTTGTGGAGCACGTACCTAAAAACAAATAAGATTGATTAATTGAAATGAATCTTTCTTTCTTTTTTCAATGTACTTCTTTGATTATAAGTGGACCAGCATTAGGAATTGGTGGTGGTTGTAAAAATCGAACAATTATATTTTGTTTATAAGTTACAGAATGTGAACCTTTACGTTGAATTATTTGTGGATTTGGATCATAAAAAATTTTTCCAGGAGAATCTAAAAAATTTTTAATAGATAAAAGAAAAAAAAATAATTATTTACTTGAATTATCTTGATCAATATCATTATTATTATTATTATTATTTAATGGTAATGAATTTGTATCTTCTTTATCATTAATTAAATTCATTGTTGATATATTTTTTATTTCATTAGAAATTTGTTCAGATGTTAATGGAATTTCATTTGAATTACCAGTATCAATTGATAGTGGATCTAATTGTGGTGTTGTACGAATATTTAAACCAAGATTTGGTACATTTGTTGCTATTGATGGTAGTGGACTTGTGTGATATTCTTGTTGTTGTTGTTGATGACGATTTTCAAGTAACATATCATTATTAGTTGATGAAACATTTGATGTTCCATGTGTCGATTTATTATATGATATTTGATGTTTTGGATCTATTTTTGTCATATCATTATAATTTTCAAAAGGTGATAAAAAACTTTTTGGCATTGTATTATATAAACCTGTACTATAATAATCAAAATTACTTGATTTTGTCATTGATACCATAGATGGCATTGAATTTAAATCAATATTTTGATCAAAATCTGTTAATTCATCAATACCAAACATGTCTGATGTTGGATAAAAAAGTGATATTTGATCTTGATTAAAAAAATTATTTTCGGATGATAATAATTGAGATTCAAATGGTGTTATTGATTCTGTTGGTTTTGATATATAATTACCAGCCATACCTAATACACCACCAGTAGCAGCTTTATTAACTTCATCAAGAATACGTTGAATTATTGGATCTTCTAATAAAGCCATGAGTAAAAACAAAAACAACAATAAGATCAATTCGATTTCGATAAGATAAATGAAATGATGACGCGTCTATTAACCTTTACTATTTATATTATTTCTTACAACGTTTTTCACACGCAAAAAAAAAAGTATAGACATGAATATGAATGTGAGCATAACATTCGTTGGTCTAACAACTAATCATTGAACCGTGGTAGATATGTGTTTGATAGGAGATGACAAACTCTCCTTTTCGTGGGTCATTAATTGTTAATAGTTCACGCCTATTGAGCGTCAACATTGAATTTTTGATAACAAACGAAGGTAGCAAATGTGTCTCCTCTTTGAAATTAAACTAATGATAACTGATATTAACTAAATTTTACTGTTAACCATCAAATAAGTAGTCTTGCCAACTTCAATTTATCATTTATTTGTTTGACAATACTTCATATATCTTTACAATAGATTTCTTTATTAATTGAATGACAATTAAACATAATTATTTGAAAAAAAAAGAAGATGAAATAAATATAATACCATAGTCACACTTGTTCATTTATATATTTCTTTTCACTTTTTTGATTAGTCAGAAACCTTAACAGACATGATAATAACATACTTTCTATTCAATCGTCATAGACCATAAGTAATGTCTGTGTGCAGTGAAAATATATTTATCTTTCTTTTAATCATATTCAAAATGAATGCATAAGTACAATCTTTCATTAATCCTTTGTGACATATAACAAATAGATCATCATGAAAGATATTCTATTCCAAATCAATAAAAAAAAAAAAACAACTTTTTCCTTTATATTTTGACAACGATTTATATGTCACTATTTGGGTAGTTCCCAATTCGGTTTCACCACATTATGTCTCATTAAATGATTTCTTAATTGTTCCCATTCCTTTTTTTTTTATTCGAAATTCGAAATTACACATTGTAATACACTTTTACTTAATTATCGAGATTTATAATTAGTAATTCAATGCGACAAAACCGTAAAAATGAAATTTATTAAGAAGAGCAGACAATTTAATTGTTTTCATTTAATATGCCTTTGGGCTATAAATGTTGACAACTTTTTTATTTATTTTTCATTAGCCAAGTTATTCTCATCATGAATCATTGCAATTGATAATATAAGAACTGATAATTTGAGTGGATAAACCTTATGGTACTTTCATTTCAAAATTAGTACAGATGAACTCTTTTTTTTTATTTATAATCTATTTTTAACGATTATTTTAATATTCAAACCAGCCTATTTCGTAACATATCATATTATACATAGTTACAAATGCATTTACACATTAAAATCATACCATAATTATGCATTTGATGTGACGAGACGACGTCCCCTGTCAATCTTACGTCTTAGAGAAAAAGAAAACAAAGATTCAATGATATTTATCATAATTCGAAATAAATGTTTGATAGCGATATCTAACATATCATGTATATAATATGATGAATTCATATGATGATGACTGCTTCGTTATGATAAATTAATCATACGTAAATTTTATTTAATAAAATACATAAAAACAATAAAAAAAATGTTTTTTTAATGAATAAAAAGAAACGAAGAATTTCTTCTTTTTCAATTGGATCGATGATTATCTATTTGTAAACTATAGAATGAAATCACAAAAAGTTATCTATTTTTATTTATGCACTTTTGTCTATGAACTAAACGAATATTTCAAAAAATGTGTTAGTAAAGATTTTCATGTTTATTTTAATTTTTCATTAATACCTTGATCGATGGTAACGAACATTTTATGTTAGACTTGTCAAAGATAATAATGAAACATTTTTTTTTTATTGTCAAGTACGGGAATATTCATATATGAAAAGATAGAGACACGACAACAGATAATTATAAATCAAATAGATAAGACATCATTCATCGCAATCGATGATGATACATTGCTTTGATTTATATCAACGTTTAAACATTTGAATGTTAAAATTAATATTTACTGTTTGATAAAATCTTAGTTTTTTTTAAAATCTGAATACTATATTTAAGAAACTATACACAAAAGATTTGATGATATCTCTCTTTACTTCACTGTATTTAATGATATGTTTGATTTTGAAATTTCAGAAACTCTAGTTTGTTATCGATCTCAAAGAATTTTAAAAAAGATACGAGATTAATAAAATATATCTGAATTTTAATTTTTAGATTTATGCATTTGTACAGAACAATTACATACTTTGACTGTGATTTGTTTCATCTTGTTTGTTTATTATTTTCGTCAAAGTTATCAGAATAATAATATTGCTTATAATATTCCTGATCCAGGTAAGTGTTTTTTTTTTCTTGAACTATTTTTATTATAAAATTTTGCTTTTTTTTTACTAGAATGTACCGATGTTTTTAATCTTTGTACTGATGTTGATAAAGAACAACTTGGTTGTCAAATTATTCGTGTAATACAAGAACAAATGGATGATGATAAAGATGGATTAATTCGATCATCTGAAAGTACTCATATGAGTTTTTAGATTATTAATTATTTAATGTATTAGCTTTTTAAATTATAGTTTATTAAAGAAGAACTTGAATCAATGACAGATGTTGTATGACATAAACGATTTCAAAATGTTAATATACATATTACATACGATGATTTATAGACACAATTGAAACATAACTCAGATTTTTTTTCTAATTCAAATAAAATAATTATCAAGAAAAATGTATTTATCTATAGTTTATAATTGAACAATAGTTAGTGTAATTGATTGGCTTATTAATTTTGTTAATTTACCACAATATGTTGAAAATTTTCGTCGTAATCAATTTGATGGTTGAATAATACCAAGGTAAACAAAAAGAACTCAAATTTGTTTTCTTATATAAATTTATTCATATATCTTAATTATTTTAGATTAGCAGCTAATGAAAAACAATACATTTCATCAATAATGCATATTCGACGTGTACGAGAAAAACAACGAGTTATTATTAAAGCAATCGATATCGTTGAATTCGGGCCACCATCACGTTGCTATTTCAATTTTATTAGGAAATTTTCTAATCGAAATAGAATAATCGCTCCAAAGATATGGAATATTTTTTTCTTCGGTGACTAGTGCATCCGACACATTTCTTACACGAGTCGCCTAAGAAATGTGTAGGGTACAGCTCACCTCGACAACGCCAACAGCTAGCAAAGTACGGTTTTTAGCAATTGAAAAAGGAGAATACTAGATGTTTTTTTGTCTTATACTATATAAGACAAAATCATTTTAAAATCCATCGTTTTCGTAAAACATTTAAAAAAATGGATAAAAACAGTATTCCATTTTGATGTAATTTTGATTTTGACATGTGCTTTAGATAGAAGGAATCCAGATCTTGTGATTCAAGAAATGACTCAGGTGACCATTTTCTCATATCTTAATGTTGAGCAAACAAAATCGCGTATCCATTTGATCAAATTATATAAATTTTTTTTTGATTTCATATAATTTTCTGACTTTTTATCAATATTTTCTTGAAACTTAACGCCGTTTTCACACATTTTAAAAAAATGTTTAGCGACAACGATGGGTTTTAAGATAATTTTGTCTTATATACTATCAGACAAAAGAACGTTTCGTGTTCTCCTTTTTCGATTGCTGAAAATCTCAGGCCGCTAGCTACTGCCATTGTCGAGCTATTGAGCTTACATACGTCTCTCTTTAATTCTGGCACGGACATTAGTTTTAGACTATATTTTATATCAACAGCTTTTTCCTAGATTTTTTCACACGAATCAATACTCAAATCCTATCCCAATCGACTTATACCAATACATAGAAATCATTTTTTACTAGACAATCAAAAATAATTTTCCTATTTGTTTTGCAAGACATGGGTATCAATCAAATTTTAAAGTTTTCTTCAAGAACGTAGGACTCGAAATGTTTATCATATATCTTTCTTTATGCATTGAAATACTTTACAATCAGAGTTTTCATCTTATCTTAGAATCAACATAGACAATTTTCTTAAATTCATCACAACGAAAGACATGTTGTTGAAATCACCAATGATGCTAAAGTAATTGACGAAATCTCAATCCATGTTTTTTCACTCAGAAACATTGTAGAGAATTCAGTCTTTTTCATAATGAAAGAGCAAAATCTGAGCTTCAAAAAACAGTTTTGGGATTAACTTTAAATGTAAAAAAAAGTTTAATACGAAATGTCAATAAAAAGTTCTTGTAACTCCTGTTCTTTTCAAACGTATTTCTCACATGTAGCCTATCTGTTTTCCTATAACAGATTACACTTAAATTATATTATTATAGAAACTAATTAGTTAATAGTTTCATCTATGAACAAGACAATACCACACCACAAACACATCAGGAATTATTTCCATGATGTGAAGAGAACTTCATACATTTTATATGGAATTACAGATGACCATCCAACAGTAACCAATTTCAATGTTCTGCATTATTATGTGTGGGATGCTGTCGCCAATAATATGCAATGGAATAAAGTTAAGAACACTGATTCATTAATTGATCAAGTAAGAAAAGGAATTCTTCATGTACCAAAAGAAACGATCTTGTTCGCAGCGTCGAATATTGATCACATAGAATTTTGTCTAGTTTGAAAACTAAAGGTGCATATATAAAATAAGCTTTGTATTGAAGATTACAGGACTCTTCGCATTGCATCTTTTGGTATATTTTATTTTTTTAAGAAAACCTAGATGCAAAGCATGGTCATTCATTATAGCTCGTCCGTTATAAGAAAAACAGTATTGTACAAGAGCTCTTTTGACAATGTTTCATATCAGTCTTTTTTTCTCACTCAAAGTTAATCTCAGAAAATTTTTTTCTTAAATTTTTGAAGTACAGACTGTGTTCTCCCAATAGAAAAAGGAATGAACTCTCTACGATGTTCCTAATTACTTTTGCATAGCAAGTTATTTACATCACGATGCGCTCAATGTTTTGTTTTGCAGGAATTTTTTTTTCAATGTAGAAACTCATAATGTGATGAAAGATATAATTCTTATATCGACATTATTTGCTTCAATTGGTGTCTGCATCTATCCATTTATTCGTCAACGTCAAACACAAGAAAATATGAATATTATGTTACAAGAACTTGAAATATTACAAAAAGCTAAAGGCAATTTATTAGCTGTAACTGAAAAATAATAAATATTTGTTTTTTGATTATTTTTAATTAAATTAATTTCATTGAATTTAATTTTAAGAATGCGAATCAAATAAAATAAAATTCAAAAAATTAATCAAAATTTACTATATATATGGTTTATTGAAATACAACGAATTAAAATATAAAGAAAATAATTCATTAAATATAACTTAATTTTTCTTTTTGGTTTCATTTAAGGAACAGGTAGATGGATTTCGAAAACATCGTGATTCAATTATTGATCATGAGAAACAAATAAGTTTTGATTTAGAAGAAATTGAACAAGTAAAATAATATAAACACGTGAGTTTTATAAAAAACACAATCTAAAAGGAATGCTGAACTACACGAGTAGAAAATCGAATCTTTTCCAAACGTAATAGATATACTTAGCAACGTTTCTCCTTCATCACAAACCGTGATAGACACATTAGCAACTCTTTCCTCTCTCTCTGGGTCATAAACCATGACAAATGTTTTTAATGTACAATTACAGACCGTGACAGATGTGGTTAATGTATGATCACAGACCACATATGAATGACATCTTGTTATAATGTGTGAATCATTTGTTTATTGCATTTCTGGAGGATTAAGTCAAATGATAGTAAAGAAATGTGTTCGAAAATAGATTGAATAAAACAATCTTCTTGCGATTATCAACAGCAACTATATTTTGTGTCATATTTTAATCCCATAGAGATTGCGTTAATAACTTTTTTTTAGATAAGATAAAATTCCTTTTTTTAGTTACAAATTGCATTACATCAAGCAGAAGAACATGTTCAACAATAATCATATGAACCACCAAATAAATTAATTGACTTACTTAAACATACTTATGATATTGAAGAAATAGTTTTTGAAGTAGGACGAAAATTAGCTGAAACTGCTTTAGTAACAGCTAAAGAACAAGTAGATAATTGAATTTTTGTTTCTGTGTAATATTTATTAATAAAACATTAGATGGATAAAATATCTAAAATGCAGAAAGGTTTTTTCTGATGCTGTAAGAATGGTACATACAAATTGTATAGATAATGCTGATGAATCAGTACATGCAACAAACTAAAATATTTGATTATTTCCTTTTTTTTTTATTATTCTTTTTTTCTTAGGTTTTCATTTTTCTAGAGAACGATTAATCGAAATTCATGATGAATATGAAGAACGTGAACAACGTTGGAATCGAATAATAATATTACTTAATCGTGATGATTTAAATGATTTAGGATTATCAACATCTGTTATATATCGTACCAAAGATTCGCCTAGTGTTCATGCCTAAATATTTGTATCATTCTCCATATTTTTATTCTTGTAATCATTTAATATAAAAAAAAAAGAATGTTTCTTTCTATTTTTCTCCTTCAATTGATAAGTATATATATATTTAGACATGCATGTATGAAAACTATTTTTTGTCTACCGTTCATTAATTATAGTATTGTTCTCATATAAACATAATTATAATATAATATAAGCATTCAATGACATTCTTTACTTTTATAAAACTAATTGTAATTAAGAGATTATACAAAATATTACTTCGTGAAGAGTATAGCATATTTGAATAATCACCAATGTCAAAAGACACATTGCAAGAAGGACAAACAATCAAAATAGAAACAATATTCATAAGTTAACATAGATTTGCAAAGTTTCATGATGAAAACCTATATTTTCAGCTAGAATAACTCCTCATCTTCACTCTTCTTTTTAAAGTATGTTTAATCAATACTGACATTTAGTATTAAAATTTTTTCCTATGCTAACTGCTCAAGTGAATTTTATGACTTAGAAATCAATATACATTGTAGAAGCCACGAAAGCAGCGAGTATGTACATTCTCCCAAAATTGAAAATTATTCATTATTATTTCGTTAAGTTACCAAGATTTTTTGGAGTGTTTACTACCTCTATGAGATATTATCGTATAAACTACTCCAATTTTGAGCCCGTCGCACGGCCTCGATATGTATAGCTTTTGCAAATAATGAAAACGAAAAATAATTTATACAAAATGCGACACTCATTAGTGATGCTCTGATATCAAGAGTCGATCATATTCTTTAGATTGTTTTCAAACGAACATAACAATTTTTATCAAAAATATCGTCATTTATTCATCTTAATTTTGCTCATACGTTCTAATTAAAATAGACACGATATTTCAAACGTGAATTAAGCATAAAGAGAAAAAAAAGCAGTATTCAATCGATTGTACATTTCGTTTATGTCACGTTTTTTTGTTTTTTTTATGTTTTATCCTTACTTCTAAAACCATATCAATGTACAACGCGAATAACGGCAATACACAAAATACTTGTAATAGTACACGCAAAAAATAATGTGAAATAAGGACAACATTAATCGTTGTCTCGTATGTTTCTTTTTTTTCCTAAATATACGGAACAGAACAAAATAGTAAAGTCATCGAAAAAAAATGTTACGCTTGAACGGCTCGATCTTTTTTCGATACATATGCTCATGTGTATATGTGCGGGTTTTTTTTCTTCGTTGTCTTTTCAATCAAATATAGCCCTTTAATATACGAAAAAAAGCAGAAGGAAACCAATTTTAGAGGCATCTATCAATCATTTAGACTTAAACTGTGAACGATCATTAATCAATGATGGCTACATATAGCATACCTTTTGAAGAAATTGATGAAAAAGATACCACAAATACAGGTACATCACCAACAAAAAAACGAAAATCTACTAAACGAAGTCTTCGTTCTGCTAATTCATATTGTATCATGGAAAATGGTAATGGTTCATTATCAGATTCTATTCCATCAAAACCATCAAAATGTTTTGAAACTCAACCAATTAATGGATCAAATTTAGAAACGTCTACACATTCACAATCATCAGTTCAGTATGCAAATTTGAATAATTATCCATTGCAATTAACATTAACTCCAGTTGAAAGTTCTCAATCAACTGCAACAAATATAGATAATATACAAAAATTTCAACAAATTGAATTACGCAATATTACAGATGATGAGGATGATGGTAAACAACAAAAAAAAGTTGCACGACCAACAGATTATAAAATTCCTGATCATGATCCAATAGTATCATCATATACATCAACTAATGATAGTGACATTATTGAAATCCATGAATTTAGTGAAGCTGATGTTGATGCTTATCTTGATATTTATTTTGAAATGCTTCATAATCGTTTAATACATTTTCTCGGAGATAATGATCAATTACAACAATTTCGTATAAAAATGAAAAATCGATTAAATACTGATTTGAACTCACGTGAATATCAAAATGTTCTTCTTGGTAAAATCAATGGTGAAGTTGTAGCAGCAGTAACATTATCATTTCCTGGTGAAACGACAACTGTTACAAATGATAGTATACTTCCACGAGCAGATTCATGTTTAGCATCAATACGTCGTTGGTCAATGCGAAATGCAAATTATATTCCAACAGCTATGAATGAATGTTATATTGAAATGATTGGTGTTAAAAGTGCATATAGAAATCATGGTATAGGTGCAGCTCTACTTGAATGTGTTGAACATTTTGCTCAAGAAGCTGGTGCACTTTTATTAACAGTACATACAAATGGATTACAATTAACAAATTATTTTGCACGATTTGGTTTTATGATTGATCATTCAGATAATTCAGCATTTTGGAAATGGATAGTTGAACGACAAAATATTAATAAAATGTCAAAACATATTACACCTGATCATGATGATCATATGGATAATGCAAGTTATGTTAATGGAAGTATTGATGAAAATGATGATGTATAATACAACAGAGAGAAAAAGAAACAATATATGCATGAAAAGGCAAAGCAAATAGATATTTACTATCGATATGTATGTCGGTCGTTTTTTGTTAATTTATTATACTTTAGAACAAAAAAAAGGCCAAAGTTGATATAAAGAACTAGTACATTAGATAGTTATATTCGATTGTTTGCAACTGCAAGAATGCAGAAATGTGCTTTTTTTTTAGAAAAAAAAAACAAACTTTGTTTTATTTTTAAGTAAAATAATTCAATTAGTATGAGAGAACAGTATTAAACAATGAGGTTTTGACAAATTCTATTAAAAGTAGAATAAAGAAAACAAATGGATGATGATTTTTTTTGCTTTAAAGTTTTCACACCATCTAAAACTTAATTCATCAGAATTCAACTAATTATTCACACGAATCAAGTCTATTGAAGATATAGATCTATTGATGCATAGTAATGTCTTAATTAGCTTGTATATGTTAATGGATGGTGTGTTGTTGACGTTTTATGTTACAAAAAAAAAGACAAATTGGTATAACCTTTAACACAAAATATTCATTCTTTTTTTGTTCACTTAAAAACTACTACTTCGAGCTAGAAGCAATTAGATAGAATCAGACTTTTTCACTCTCTCCGAATATCTTTTCAAAGTTTTCTTCTGAACTAAGATTGAACAACTATCATAAGATTATTTTCAAATGGTGGTCATACAGAATACTATTTTGTTCAATTTTCTATTTCGATTATAGACTATCGAAGACAAAATGCAAAACAGTTTTAAATAGATATGTGCAATGTCAGTGTAAATACTGAAGGTGGGTCATCAACACATGTGGATGCGTAGTTGTCAGCAATAGTGACCTATCGACAATGTGTCTATTAACACATCGACTACGCTGCATCGGTGTTCACTGAAGCATTAATATACCGATACAATATAGATATGTCAGATAAATCAGCGAGCACCGATAAGAGACCTCCGAAGAACTCTGAAACCCGATTATGATTCTGACTCCACTGGAGTCGGAGTCGAATTTGTGAATCAAAATAGTTGATTCGGTAGGTCTCTAAAACTGATCCACTGTAGTCAATGTGAATTTTTGATGAACTGTTTACTGGAACTTGGCATGCCTACCGACACTGGAGTACTGACTACACTGACATTCGCGTTCGTTGAGACACTAGGACACCAACTCTATCAAAAATATGTCCATTTTGTAGCGGTGTGTTTCAATGCTTCTGTGAACACCAGTATCTACATAGTCAATGTGCACTAACCACACTGAGTCAATGACGTCGGTGATCAATAAACTGAAACTGCACATCCATAGTTATTAATGGTTCAGTATTTTAGAGCAAAGTTTGCTCGACAAAGCGTGCCATTTACTTTTGCATGACAGATTTTAAAACTTGTATATTTTTGAAAGCAGTTTTTGCAACACCGATTTTCATAGAAACGAACTCTTTAGTGAAAACACAAAGATGAGAATCTACTTATCGTAATATCGTATTTTGTATAGAATTTAGTTCTCTACAATAATGCTCAGTTAAAGCTGTTCTAAACCACACACACTAAGGAGTGCACCAAAACCACACTTTGGCTTTGTACCCAAGGGGGCAAAAAGCGAGATTTCAGTGCTCCGAAGTACGATCACCGTACTTTGGAGTACTGAAGTCTCTCTTTTTTCTCTTGCTTTGTATAAATACAATTTTGAACTTTTTCTACAAGATATACTGATAGTTGTTTAATTTTATCCCCGAAGAAAAGTTTGAACATATATTCGAAAATAGCGAAAAATTTTGCTTCTGACTCTAACTAGTTGTCTTTTATTGACTGAAAAATGAGCGAATATTTTTAAGCACTAGTATGCTTATCGAAAGCAGTTTTATTCTTCATTGTTCCATGAAAATCTTGATGTTTCATAATCTGAACGAAATAATTAATTTCAATAAAAACAATTTCATTTAATAGAAAATATTGCAAAAATCGAATTAGATTTCTCATATCAAAGTCAAAGTAGGAAATACAATGAATAATCAATCTTGAAAATTATGACAGTTCTTAATATATTTTGTTAATAATTTCTTTTTCTTTTTCTTGTTATATTTTTAAAAAACAAATATGATTTATCAATAATTATTGCTAAATATATCAACATAGAGAAAATTGTGTCAATTTAACATTTATCTGAATATAACAAGAAAGAAAACAAAAAGAAAACGAATAAATAATAATACAAATATATGAATTCGTTTTCTGTATTATTTTTCACATTTTATACACAGATACGCACACGTACATCGTAAAAATAAGGACAGATGATATTGCTAGATAAATAAAATTGACTTTAATGTATACACAAGAAAAAAAACAAACAAATGATAAAGAATAAAGCTGGAAAGAGGAATAAATTGAGATTGATGAGCAAGCACCGGCTAGAATTATGATCGATCAAATCGAAATTGTTTCATGTTTCGTTACTTTTTTTATTCAATCGTTTATGTAGAAATGGTTTTAATAATCTTGTTGATAAAATCGATTTTCGTGCTTTTTCCGATGATGTTACTGATTGTTGATCATCAGATATTAAATCTGATATTTGAGATTTTCTATCATAGTGTTGTTGAAGATCATCACATAGAGAATCATCAGTATCTAAGTGAAAATCAGGAATGGTACTAGCTATTGTTTTTGTTTGTCCTGTCGATAATGGTATATCAAGAGATTCAGATATATTTTGTCCTGTTATTTCTGTTGAACTTGTACTTAAATTATTAAGACCGTTTGCTGAATGTGAATAAACTATTCTTGAACTATTAACAAGACGTTCAGTTGATGAACGTTCCCTTGGTAAAGCATTGTTTGCATTTGGACGTCGTCTTAATCTTGCTGATGGAGAATTGGAATATTCAAAACAACTATCAGTTTCACTTTGTGTATCTTGTTGAGCATTTTGCGTTGGATTATATGAATTTACTCCGAGTCCACGAATATTTATATTACTAAAAAGATTAATAAAAAGTTTAAGTATAAATATCAATCTTTCATTAGTTTTTGAGATTAACTAATAACTGACTTTCAATCATTTTCGGGTTTTTTTTTTGCTTGAAAGAAAGATAGTTCTACTTTGAATCTGTTGAAAACGTTCTTTCGATCTGAACTGAACTGTTCGACAAGAGAGAAGGAGTGAGATTCCAGTATTCCGAAATACAGGTGAAGTACAGTGATCACCGTACTTCGGGATACTAAAGTCTTGTCGAACAACTTACGAGAGTGCCTTCCTCGGTGCACCCTCTCAGATTTCAATGAATTTTCGTCTATATAACGTCCTAGTAAAAATTCTAGAAAGATCTGGGTACATATTGAGATTTGGTTAAGCTATCGGATTTTTAATATACCTATTTTCCAGAGACTCTTATAGAACTTCAGATTTTCGAAAAAACCAAATTTTGACCTGAAACTTTGCATATTTATAGATCTTAACTATACTAGCTTCCATGAAAAAACTCAGAAATTTTGAACAAAATCTCTTCACGACATATACATTTTATAAAATTCATGCTCTATATATTATCTATACAAAAGGATCTATATCTTGAAATTCTCATATCTCGAAGAGATTTTGTTCAAAACTTCTGAACTGTTTTATGGAAGCTAGTCTAGTTAAGGTTTATAAATATGTAAAGTTTCAGGTAAAAATTCAATTTTTCCGAAAACCTAGGGTTCTACAGGAATCTCTAGAAAATTCGTATATTAAGCATTCGATAGCTTAGCCAAGTTTCAATATGCGTTCAAATCTTTTTAGGGTTTTTACTAGGACACTATATAGGCAAAAATCCATTGAAATCGATAGAGGGCATTTGAAGAAGTTCCGTCGTCAGTTCAGACCACAAGAACAGTTCAAATCATTAATTTCATAGGAACTGATCTGTTTCAATAGTTCAGATCCTGAGACTAAACTGTCCGAACAATTTTTGTTCTACTTTTTGGAAAAGGCTCTACCAGGTACATAAATTCTTTGTTCTCTCACTAAAATTCCTTTCTCTAAACATACCTAACTTTTTCGGATAGTTCAATTCCAGGAACTGAACTGTTGGAACAGTTCTTTTACTTATTTGATCTGTACTTTAAATTGAGATCTAATCGATCCATAAATAACAGTCGAGTACATCAATTTATTCAGCATGTGCTAAGACAAAAATAAATCAATGCGTAAATAATGTATTTTGTTTTTATATTTATCTGTTGTTTGATTTTCTCTATTAACAATGCGTGCGATAAAATAAAAATAAAAATTTTGGAAGATCTAATATTCATGTCCTATACTCTATTATTATACTTTTAATCTATTTTATTGACTCAAGCATACATTGTTCTTTTGAAGACATCTATATGAGTAATAAATCTTCTAATTCAATGAAATTATTTCGTACTTATTTGTTTTACTAAATACTGATGAATCATTATTTGTATTCGTTAAACTGTTCACATCAGCAGATATTCGTTTAATTCGATTATTTGAATCTAAATAGAAGAAAATGAAACCTACTTAGGATCATCCAAAAGTAGTGGCATAGGTACTTTAGTTCTTTATAAAAAGCTTCGAGAAACTTTTTTTCTACATAGACTAATAGTAAAAAGCGACGTTCTATTTTTCTATGCTATTACACCGTTCTTCAAGTTATATCATAATAATAAAATTTCGATAACATCTATTTTTCTGTCAAATGTGACGGTTATACTAATGTCTATTTGTCGAATGGATATATTTTAAATACCTTCTGATAGAAAAGAGCTAGAGAGCTGCGGTTTTCATCGTTCGAAAATGCATCGAATTGTATATTATACGACTTCTTTTTAAGGTCTTCAATCGATCTCTTTGAAAACAAAGCTAATCCATGAGGTATTTGCAGCAAATGTGTTGTAGTCGAATCTCTAAATGTTTTTTTTAATCATTTCTATGAAAAAAGCTTTTGTTTCCGGTTTCTTTTTGATACAAAAAAAAACATTTTTTTCTCATACTTAGAAAATTGATTAAACAAACTTTAGACAACATACTAGGAAAATGTATAATATACAATTCGATGCATTTTCGAACAATGAAAATCGCAGCTCTTTATTTCTTTTCTATCAGAAGTTATTCAAAAAAAAAATACACACTCTACAAATAGACATTAGTATAATCGTCACATATGACAGAAAAACAGGTGTTATCGAAATTTTATTATTATGATATAAAGCTTTTTATAAGACATTGAAGTACCTCCGACACTACTTTTGGATAGTCCTAAGTATTATTATTTAAAAGAAAATTTTCGTATATATCACAATCATCATATCCTCCCTATTGTTTCACTAAAAAAGCCTATCATTCAATTCTAGATTAAAAATAAATTACGAAACTCATCAAAATACATCTGAATTATCGTTTTCTTTTTCTCTTATCAAATTCTTCATTAAAATAAAAAACCTAAAAAATAATGATAAAACTCCAAAAACAAAAACATTAGAAGCAGTGTATATATGCATGCGTGATATATTATGGTGTTCTTTTTTTCAATGGATGAGTACGAGCAACTCACCTAGAAAACGTGAAACTAACCGTAAAATTAATATTTTTATTAGAACTATCAACTATGTTTACAAAAAGAATCACCTGGTGTTAGACTATTAGTAGTTCCATTATTCGATGATATTGGTGGAGTTCCAGTTAAATATTGATTACCACTAATTGATGTTGAGGATGATGATGAATAACTAATTAAATCTTCTCGATCAAGTAATGAAGCTATACGATTCCAACGTTTTTCACGTTCTTCATATTCATCTTGAATATTTGTTAAACGTTGTCTTAAAAAAAAAACAATAACATTTTATTCAAGACTTAAAAAAAAAACAAACTTACTTTGCAGCATTTATTAATTCACTTATATTATCCATACAACCTGTATGTGCTATCCGTACAGCACCAAAAAAACCTTTTTGCATTTTAGAAATTTTACTCATCTAATATAAGTATATAAATAATAATTAAAAAATAACAAATTTAGATATATATTTTTACTTGTTCTTTAGCTGTAAGCATAGCACTTTCTGCTGATTTACGTTTAACTTCAAAAGCAATTTCTTCAACATGATAAGTACGTTTAAGTAAATCGATTAATTCACTTGGTGCTTCATATGATTGATGTTGAGCATGTTCTTCTGCTTGACGTAATGCAATACGTAACTAATTCAAATTATACAAATAATAATTTTTATCTTATATATATAGGAGCAAAATCATTCGTTAACAACGTGACTTCGCAGAATTGAAACACGTGTATTTCGAGATAATCAACTTTACGTAGAGTCATATAGGATAGTCTCGAATACCGAAAAACCACGTTTGTTCCGTCCCACAGGATTCTCTCAGTGTTGTACACTTTAATTCTTTTATTTCTAACGATTATCTTAATATTGAAATACATAACAGAAAAAAGAACTAAATAAGTTCGTGTAAAAAAGGCGATTGACTGTACGAACATGAAAAATGTCAGAATACGACATCTGCCATTTCTAAATCTTAGACTTCTGTAGAGAAAATCATAATGAATTACATAGCTCAGTTGTTAACTATCGTTTTCTGCATTTTGATAGCTTTCGATTTATTTCAAAATTGTATGAAGAATGAATAGGTGACTTGAGTCGTGATTAATGTGTGGAGAAGAAAAATGAGTTGTCATGTCAATTAAGCAAGTGAAAGACAATAAGTTGACTACTGCGCTTTGTGTAGTGAGCGAGACAAATGGGACATGAAAAAGTTTTGATAGAGAATCAAAAAATAGGTACGTCCCGTTTTGCTTGAATAGTTTATATATTTTATTATTTATTTACTTGTTCAATTTCTTTTATAGCTAATTGTAGTTGACTATCACGATCATTAGTTGAATCACGACGTTGTCGATATTTTTCAGCTTCTTCCTAATGAAAGAGGAAAAGAAAACTTTTTCTTTTTTTTTTTTTGTTTCTTCAATAGAATATAACTATTTTTGTACTTTCTTTCGTTGTACTTCAATAAACCAAGTTTTTAACATATTACGATCAACTTTTGTTTTATCTTTTAATTCATTTTCCATTGCTTTAATTCTTTTTAAATAAGAAAATAAAAACAAAACGAATAATGTCAATATAATTATTCAATTAAATTTTCTTACTTTCCAGTTATAGCTTTTAGATTACCTTCAGCTTTTTGTAATGTTTCAAGATCTTTTAACATTAATTTCATACTTTCTTGAGTTTTCCGATGACGTGCAAATGCATATAAACAAGCACCAACAGATATCAATAATGCTGATATTAATATCATATCTTTTATCAGATTATGTTTATCTAAACAAAATAAAAATATTTAAAACAAAATAAAAAAAAAAAACTAAGTCAATAAAAATTTACGTTGTGGTGGAGGACCAAATAAAACAACATCTGTCGCTTTAATAACTAAAAGTCGTTTATGTCTTGGATCACGTATTTGCATAATAGCTGAAAGATAATGTTTTTGATTAGCTGCTATTCTAAAGAAATTAGAAAATCAATAATTATGAGTTTAAATAAAAAAAAACAAATTTCTTTATTCAAACCTTGGAATCATTCGACCATCAATTTGATTTCGACGAAAATTTTCAACATAAATTGGTAAATGAACATAATTAACAACCCAATGAACAACATCATCAGTACTCCAATTATAAACTAAAATAAAACGAGATAATAAAAATAATTTTAAAGTATGAAATATAATAATTCACCTGCACTCTTTTCCCATTGTGTCCATAGATCTTTAAATGTTATTTGTAAATTAGCATCTTGAAATTGACGATGTCGAATAGAATCTGTATTTGATTCTAATTCTTCTTTTATAAACTTTTGAAGAAAAAAATATTTATTTAAAAGATAAAAAAATAATAATTTCATCATAAAAAAAAAACAAAATCTTACATCACTACTTTCAGATGGTTCAATCATACCATCTTTATCGTCATCCATTTGTTCATGTATAGCTTTTATTGCGTCACGACCAAGTCGTTCTTTATCAGCATCAACACATAAATTAAAAACACCTGTGCAATCTAAAAGAAGAAATATAGACATATTTATTAATAAAATTTAATAATAAAAAAAAATAATAATAATTTACCTGGATCAGGAATATTATAAGCAATGTTTTTGCTTAATTCGTATGATTGAAACAAGTAGAAAAATAAAATGAGATAAACAATCCTTGGACACATGAATTTAAATATCTATAAAAAGAAAAATATTGTTACCTATCATATAATTAATATGGTTAATTTAATTCATGAATAGTTTCATACAATAAATACAAAACGAAACTACAGGTAATAATATTTGAATGTCAAGGCAGTAAACAGTCAACACTGTAAATGAAGAAATAAAATCGATATCTATTCGAACCATGTGATTATTAGTAAAATCAAAATGTATGCCTTGTGTCACGTTGTTATCATTCGAATGATTAAATACAATGATTATTTATGTAGTCGTCAGACGTCCCCATATTTATATATGTAGAAACTACGAAGTTATTTTGAAGCAGAGAAAGAGGAATAGGAAAGATTACAACATAATTAAACTTGTTTTTGATTATTAACGACAAGAAAGTGAATAAAGTATATTATGGACTCGAATGAGGTAAATAAACTAATATGGATACATATATATATATGTATAGACGCAAAAAAGATGCCGTTAGAGTATCCTAGGTTTTTTTCTTATTCGAAGCGATGAATAACAAACCTTTTCTTATTCAAATTGACAGATTGATTGTATACTGTACAGTACAACTGTTATAATGAGTATAAAATATGTTCCTTTTTTTTCTGTTGAGTCAACAATCAAAGTTTTTACAAGCGTAAAAAATTGATAAGAATTTCTATATTAATTAAGTCAATTAATCATCGGCTAGCGCAAAGTCCAAGTCATTTGGAAACTTGTGGCGGGCCCTATTTTTGGCAAGAGAAACTCTTGAAATTTCAATGTATTAGCAAGATTTTTGCATGAAACATGGCACAGAATACGCAGAAAAAATTTAATCTACCTTAGACTTTCAGCTCTTATTGACTTTAAAAAAATCGTACTTAGTTTTCATCGTTATAGGTATCGATTACAATATATAAGAAATCAATAAATATTAAATATTTTATTATGCATTGCTACAAAATAAAAGAAATCTCAGATGCTCCAATGATATTCCTTTTTTTTTTATTTACATCCTATTTTATATACCTAACTGAAGATATTGATGGTAGAAATATTGTGTTTTGGCTTTTGTTGGACGTATTTTTCGACAAGACTGAAGTATGAAAGAAAGTAGAGTAGAGAACAACATAAACCCATCGGCTTTTACCATCTGATTATGTATACTGTCTATCATATGCAGCTGACATTTTATAGATAAACACAATATCTACAGTCTATCTTTTGGTAAATGTAATCAAACATTATACATGCAGTTATCTTGTCTCATTGTTGTCAAGCCTTTAGACAAACAAAGCTCGGCTATTATTACTTTAGATGTTAATTGATTTATTATTTTTAATCACATATTTTAAAAATTCTTTATTATAAAAAAAAATCAAATCTATCAATTATTCATTTTATTAAAATAACTACACTATTTTAAGATTTCCTTTTTATTGCTTTGTTTAATTAAATAAATATTTATTTAAAACTTACCAATAACGACGCTTGATCGATTGGTCCGTGCTATTACTAAACTAACAATTATTTTTTTTTTCATTCATTACTTTTCTTTTTTTTATGAATCAACGTGTTCTATAACACGTTGTAAGTAGATGTTTAATATCCAATAGAAAAACTACTAAAATTGTTTTCTATTGGACGAAGATAAATGCATTTCAAATACTCATAAAAATTAGATCTCTATTTGTTGTACGATGAATTGTCAAGCATTAATTGAAAAATTTGTTAATGATCGTCATGAAACGATCGTTAATCAACTAGGACAACGTATGTAAAAACAAAAAGGAATAATCTTTATTTCTTCATTATTTCTAATTTAGTTTTGATAACAAAAGAATTAAAATTAGTGGATTTTATTATTAGTATTGGGTAAATGAAAAATATTCTTTTGTTTCTTTTTAAATAAAATAACATCATTGTATTTAGTGATTATCTTCAAAGTATAGAATTATCAAAACGATCTTTAGCTTTAACATTAGTTGCAAATGTTGTTGAATATTTACCAAATACATTTTTAGAACCAAATGAAAGTAAGAAAAAGACAAAAATTTATTTCATTATTTTCAATAAATTTCTTTTGTTTTTTTATTATTATTTAGTTCATCATTTAGTTGTTTTTACAAGTGCAAAAATGAGTGATCATCATGTACTTATACAATCATGTGTTCAATTATTTCGTATTTTAGTAAAATAAAGTTTTATTTTTTTTTTTGTTTTGAAAATAATTCTTAGTTTTTGTTCTAGGCTAAGCAATCAGCTATTAATGATGATGATTGTATAACAATGATAAAATCAATATTTTCTGATGTTTATGTTCAATCATTTCCACAAGGAAGTCGATATAATGTTTTTGTTATTTTATTACATTTTCTTTTACATCGTCTTGATGGTAAATTAATAAAAGATATTGTTGTAATTTGAAAGATTTGATATTTTCTTCTAAAGTTGTTCAACAACTTGGTAGTGATTTCGTTTGTAATTTTATACAATCTATGGATGGTGAACGTGATCCAAGAAATCTTGTTCTATGTTTTCAATGTTTACAATATATGACGAAATATTTAGATATTGGTAAACAAAAAATAAAAAGAAATGATAATTATTAAAATAAAATTTTTTTTTGAATTTAGAACCTTATAAAGAAGAATTATTTGAAATTGTTGCATGTTATTTTCCAATGGAATATAAACCGGTAAGAATTTTGTAAGAGTTTGATGAAAGAAAGAGAACGTCACAGAACATTCAAATAATCTCAGGTCGATCAAATCAGGATACTGTTTACTGTTCATATTTTCTCGTAATTCCGAACACAGTAATACGGTACCGTGTATGACACCGCATTTTAGACGTAAGCGGCCGTATATGTGCCGTAATCTCACTATGACATGGTCGTATAACTGTGTCAAGTATTCTGATTGTATACGGTCCTTTTATATGTTGTATTTTCGTCGTATACGGATCGTATTGTCCGACCTGGGATGTAATTGATCGTGGTCGAGTATGAAGCTCGTCCTGATTTTCTATTATTGATAATAGTAGTAAGAGGAGTAGATGGCATATCAGAGATTAGTGCTTCGATGGAAAGATAATCTAATTCAGCTGAATTGATATGTACTCAAAGACGGACATCCTTATCATCAAATTAAATTGATAATATATTATTAAATTATTCATGCAAGAAATTCATGAAAAAGAAATCTTATTCCTTCTTGTTATTGATCTTTTCATTGTGAATTTTCTATTCTATATGTTTGTTTTATTTACCCTATGAATGTCAGGTACTTTTTTTTTAATCGTTTATGTCATCTCTGCTGGAAAACATATGATAAGGTTTATTAACTCTAGTACTACCAACTGGAGTCCATTTGGACCCCACTTTAGGAAAATATCTTGGTATTTTTTCAGCTTCTAAAAATACTTAGCATTTTTCACCGTTTAAAATTTAAAGTTAACTATAACAACAGAAATTCATCTTCCTTCCAATTATATGAATTTGATATGACTTCATATCTTGATCAGCTAACAAAATTATAACAAGATAGGGAAAATATGAAACCACTTCAAATGTTAGTTCAAAATGTAATGAATCATTACTAATCTAATTGGAAATAGCTCTATAGCCGTTATCAGTTAATCTATAATGAGGTAACTATTGGAAGAATTAAGTGAAAATTCTACACGATCAAAACGGAAACGATATTCGCTTTGTGATCATTCCAAAGACATAAAAGCTCGAAATAAATATTATCAATGTTCAGAATCTGTTGTTGATGAGCATTCTGTTAAACGAATTTTTTGCATTACTTGTTCTAAATAAAGAAAAATTATGATTCTAAGAATTTCTTTACAAGACCGAATAGAAAAGTAGTATAATTTAGGCAAGAATATCGATTTAATCAGGAAAAATTACACAATTAAAATATATGTCATCACATTATCTTTAAAATAGGCTTAATATAATTGTATTGTAAATGATTTTGTATAAATAGTATGTCTAGGATATTTGACATCCTATGTCATATAAAGACAAGTTTTTATGTTTATCAAAAATGCAATGAAAAGATCGATCTACCTAGAAGTCCTGCGAAGCTAAATAACTGAGTAATAATGTACTACAGGAGAAAGAAAAATCGTTCTATATGATGAAATGAATGACTCTTTCCTTAGCTTGTCAATAATAGAAAACTACTTTTGACTAGTAACCGATTGATACAAATCTCAAGTTATAAATATTAATACGAAGATTTTGATCCTATGATAACTAATTTCATTTGTATCTTTTTTTTTTGTGTAATAGAAAGTAACAAATATTGGAACCGAAGAAACAGTTACACAGGAACAACTTGTTCTTGCACTACGTAATATTTTAACATCAACAGGCAAATTTGCTCAATATTGTATACCAATGTTAATTGAAAAACTGGAATCGGATATACCCAGTGCTCGTTTAGCTGCTATGGATGTTTTTGTATGTAATCAAACAATTAAATTATTCTTTTTTTTTGTTTTTTCATACAACAAAATCTTTTTATTCTAGATTCATTGTATTGATGAATATGATGCTCGTGATATGAGTTCATATTTAGTACAATTATGGAATTTATTTAGTAAACAGGTATAGAGAAGAGCAAAAAGAAAAAAAAATCATAAAAATAAATTTTGTTTTTCAAGGCTTTATGTGCTGAAAATCAAGAAATTGAAATATGTGCACTTCAAAGCATAACTGCATTAATGCAATCAATTGGGAAATCAATTCAAAACGATGAAACAGAAATTTCAACAAAGAAATTGGTTGATCGAGCTATTCGAGGTACAAAATAAAAATTGAAATTTTATTTTATTTTCATTTTTTGTCGAAAATATAGAAAAATTCATTTCATTTTTTAGAATGTGGAAATTTTCTCAAAGAATTCGATTTAAAACTTGCTTGGCCAGCAGTAAAAGTTCTTCAAGCTGTTGGACGTGCTAATTCAACTTGTTCATCACTTATATGGTCAAATTTAATTCCTTCATTAATCAAGCAATTTAATACTTTAGAACAAGTATTTATTAAAAGGACCCTATCGGAGAAGATAAAGTACTCTTTATTTAAAAAGTCAATTATATCGTTTCGTAGAGCAACTAGTGTCGCATCGAATAGTCGTCTATAGGAAATTTCTTTTTGAATGAAAAAGAAATTTCCTATAGACTATTCGATGCGTCATAAGTTGCTCTACGAAAAAGTATAGTTAGCTTTTCAAATGAAAAGTGTTCATCTTATCCAGTATGGTTCCTTCTTTTGTATTTATTAATTTAATTATTTTATTTAGGCTAATCATAGAAGAACAATTCTTGATATGATTACTTATTTTCTTCAACCAACGGGTTAAATTATTTTTTTTTCCTCGATTAACTATTTAATGTTTACTTTTATTTTTTTTCGTTTGTTAGCTATTCGAACTATAATTAAATTACCTTCGAATGTATCAGATGAACTTTGGATACTTCTATCAACACATTTTGAATCGTTTCCAAGTCATTGTCTTCCATTAATTAGCAATCTTTTGCAATTAAATAGTATACCCGGTCAAGTACTTGAAGATAATTTAACAAAATTTATTTTACACGCAAATTTGAATGATGAATTAAAGTTTGTATAAAATTTGTTTTTCTTTTTGATTATAAAGTCTAATTTAATTAATATTGATAGAATAAAATTATCAACTGTTTTGAAAATATTAGCATCATCACCTACATTTGATCGTATATGCACAAATTTACTTTCAAATTTAATCAATTCATGGACAGGTGAAAACAAAACTATAGCGACATTTACATCTTGTTCAGAGTTGTAAAACCTAAATTGAAACACTAGTACTATAAGAAGTCACATCAATTATACAAAGATATCTATCGCAGCTGAAAATCTGCCACGCTGTCATAATAGAAAACTGCTATGACGATAGTATTCGAAAAAAGATTGGTGGGTAGTTTTCGAATAACTTTTGATAGAACCCAGATAGAGAAGTGCGGTTTGCACCGTCGGAAAGAGAGAATGAAGGCGCATTGAATCGTATATTATAGGTTTTCTTAATCAATCTTCTAAATAAAGTGCCGGGAAATTGGTTTCTCATAAATTAAGAAAAACGCAAAAAAGTGAGTTTTTTCCAGAGAAATTAATAGAAAAATCGATTCGGAATTTCGAGTAGAATATCTATAACTCCTGAACGAGTAGATCTAGAAGTCTGAGCCTCGCGCAATTTTATAGATCGTCCAAGGTCATATTTTTCTATAATATACAGTTCGATGCGTCTCCATCTTCTCTTTCCAACGGCGAAAATTGCAACTTACTATCTTGTTTCTATCAAAAGTTATTCGAAAAATATTCATCTGCCTTCTTTTTGAAATAAGCAATAGAATTTTATATGAGTAATAGAACCGTTCTTTTTGCACATTCATTATATCATAATGGATTGACAAACATAACAAAGAAATTATAGTTTGATTTTAGAAATTTTCTTTCCTAGTTCTAATCCTCGGGTAATAAACACAACTTTCACTA